AAAAAGGCATGGAAGGAGCAAGGTGGGAGGGGGAAGTGGTGTGTTTTTTGGAGTTGAGGAGCTCGCGGGCAGGGTGGGTCTGTGCGCGGAGTCGCCGGAATGGTTTGGGTTGGAAGAGGGACCCGAAAGCACCTCCAGTTCCCCGCCGTGGGCAGGGACACCTTCCACCAGCCCAGGTCGCTCCAACCCGGCCTTGGACACTTGCAGGGATGGGGCGGCCACAGCTCCGCCGGGCAACCTGTGCCGGGGCCTGCCCGCCCTCCCAGGGCACGATTCCTCCCCCATATCCCATCTAACCCTGCCCCCTTTCCATTCGAACCCGTTCCCCCGTGCCCTGTCGCTACATGCTCCTGTAAGTAGTTTTCCCCCTCCGGGCTTTGGGGCTGGTTTTGGGGTTTATTCCCCAGTTTTCGGGGCTGTGCTGCTGTGCACGGGGAGCTCCCAGGTGCAGGCGGTGGCCAGGGACAGTCGCACCCTCTGAGCATCTGCAAACGCGACTAAAATTGGGCACAGGGTGTAATTAAGTAACACAGGTCTCCTGTGGTGTTTTTTTTCCCTCATTCCTTCTCGTGCTCGCTCCCCATTTTGCATTCCCGAAGTGCTGTTGGTAGCTAGAGGTGTGGATGCAGGAGGTATTTCTTCCCCCTCTTACTTTTCCTCGCGATTCCTTCATTTGGAGATATATTCATCCCCCTCCTCTGCACATGAATTGTCTTTTCAGCGCTTGGCATGTGGAGGAGCAGAGCATGGGAGGCTCTGTGAGGTTTGTGCTTTGCCTTTCCCCCCTACACCATATGCACATGCTCCACCCTCCTCTTGCTGATTTAGTCGCGGGGAGGGGGGGGAAGTGCCAACTTGGTTCAAGTAAATTGTATGGAAAAGAGAATTTCAGCCTGAAGTAGCAGGAACAGTGATTTTTTTTTTCCCTTCCAAGCTGTCCCCTTTAAGTGCTTCCATGGTGCCAGCTGCTGAATGACAAATGAAGAGGTTGGGGGGAAGGAAAGGAAATGGGCTGTAGGATTTTTTTGGGGAATTGTAGAGCTAAAAATAAAAAAAAGGCGTTTTACCATTTCCTGCATAAATGGGTGCTGTTACTTGCCTTCACCTTCTCGGGTTATGCACCTGTAATCCTTCAGGGAAGAATTTAAGGCAAGCAAAAAAAAAAAGCAAACTGCACCCTCTATTCTCATTCTGAGTGACTTGGTCTTTTCTGGAAAGATTATTTTTGGGCTTCTGATTTCCTTCTCGTTGACTTCTTTTTTTCCCCCCCCTCTGAACTTAGGAAGAAGTCTCTCCTGTATTCTTTGTTATCCCCAAAGCCCTCCCAGAGCTCTGGATTAATGTGGCAATGCCATCTGTTGCTCAGCCGGTTCGAGTTGTGTGCAGGAAAAGTTCCATTTTGACAGTGGCTTTCGGGTGGGGGAAGGAAAAAAAAAAAGGGCAGAAAAAAAAAAAAAAAGCCGAGCGAGACAAGCCCATTTCTGTCTCTTCCTGTATGTCCTCAGCCCTGCAGTGATTTGCTCAGAACGAAATGCAAAAGAAATGGGTGGCGATTGTGGTGTGTGTTTTGGTGGCAGGGTTCAAATGAATCACTGCCTTCCGCCGAGGCAGTAATGTTCCTGAAGTTTTCTCTCCGATCCGTTTTCTATGGTAGTAGAACTTGTTCCCATCCGATTGCTTGTTTGCTTTTCTGCTCGGATTTGCTGCCTTTTTTTTTTTTCTTTTTTTTTTTTTAATCGTTGTTTTTCCCAGGCTGCTAATTGCTTTCGTTACCCTCTGCGAAGAGACTCTAAAATTGTGGTAAAATTCTTTTTCTTCAGCCTTTAGCGTGTAGGTTCAGTGAGAGGAGGTTTGGGGAGAGGAGGAAACGAATCGTGTGCTCGGTTTTGTGTTGGAGGGGAGGTTGGAATTTGCCGAAAATGTACAGCTCTGATAATTTATATTTAAAGTTGTTTGGTTTATATTTAAAGTTGTGTGTGTGTGTGTGTGTGTGTTTAGAGGGTTCTGCTAAAGTAGGAAGAGGGTTCCTATGAAATCCGTTTTTAAATTCAGAGTTGACGGTTCTTGGTGAGAGGAGCTTTCGCCCTGCTTGTGCTTCCCTGTTTTCCACAAAACCTTGCATTGAAGGCTGACAAAAACAATATCCAAAGGAAAAAGGTGGGGAGGGTGGTTGTGATTGTGCCTGGGCTCTGCTGAGGAAGTGGGCGTGCTCAGGCTCCCAAATGTGCTCTGCAACCATTGTGTGCGCTGGGGCTGCGCTGGGGGGGCTCAGCTCTTGAATTGTTCCTTTCTTTTTTGCTTTTTCAGGAGCTGGAGGAGGAAATGACATTCAGTGGTGTTTTTCTCAGGTGAAAGGCGCTGTAGATGATGATGTAGCAGAAGGTAAGAGCGATGTTTTCTGCTGGTTTTTGACTTTTTAACTACTTAAGCAGGGAGATGTGGGTGCAATCAGTAAAATACCCCAGTGCTGCTGTATTCGGCTCGAGCAAAGCAAACAGACACTTAATCTGCATTCCCATACCCACAGTCAGGATTAAACTGTGCTTTGAGAGTCCCATTCTGCACACTTGTAAAAAAAGTTCAGGCTTCCTAACTATTTTTGCTGGAATTCTTTTCCAAGATTGTTAAGATTTTTCTGCCACTCAGCTCTTGGCTTGTGTTTTTTCCTAATCTGCAAAACGGGGAATGTGATACTCGCATTCCACAGGGAGGTGTTGTGAGAATTAATTAATAATTGTTCTCTTTGAAGATCTAAGTACTAGATAAAGTAATTTTCCCAATCTTTCCAGCCTCTATTAACCAGAAGAGTAATAAATCTGAATATCTGTGTGTGCTTACCTATTGCAGACAGAGCGGGTTTGTGTTTGAAATGATACTGGAGATTGTCTAAAACTTTCCTGAGCTGGCAGTGACAAGTGTCATCTTCCACTAAGATGGCTGCCTCTGATTGTCCCTGCAAAAACTGGGCTGGTTATTTGCTTTTCCTTGGATTTGGGAGGGTCAGAGGAATGGTCCTTTTCTCTGTGCTGGAGAGCAAAATCTCCTGTGATCTTTTTTGAGGGAAGTCCCTCTGACTTTGGAATTTCTGTGGCCACAAAGTCTTGTTTGCACAAGGCAGCCTGTAAGATCATGAGTTAAAATGTTTCTTTTGCAAGCAGTTGGCCTTGTCACTTATGTAATTCCTGTTTTTTTTTTTTTTCTTTTTTTACATATCTTGGATGCTCTGACTTACAAGTGAGATTAATGTTATATTTAGAAAAGCAGTAACTACAGTTTCCATTATTTCCCCATTTGACATGTGGTTCAAATTAGCTTCCAAAGGCCAAAAAAAAGACCAGTATAAACATGAGTGACTTGTTTTTATTTATTAGTTGCAGCATGTGGCAAACAATGCACTGTCAAAGGCTGCTGTCGTTTGCAAGATGAAAGATGGTTTTTTGAAAACAAGAAAGCTGTAACAACTCCCAATTTAATTTTAAATCCTTCAGGAAGTATTTTTTAAAGTTTGAACTCAAAACTACTCTTAAATGTGGTGTAGTTTTTTCTTGTCAGACTTTAAATTCTGCGACCTTTGTTTTTTCATTTACATGTCAAACTAAATCCTTAATTAAATACAAATATTGAAGAAGTTGTGGTTGCGTGGCAGGAGCTTGCAAACAATTCTTTATTAAAATAGACATGTTGACATGCATGTAATAGTAATGAAGTTATGTACAAAGAAGTGGCTTTCACAGGGAATGCAGAAGTGAGGAAACAGCCTGTCCTGAACTTCCTGAACTGTTCTGAAGGGTTGCACTTGTTGTTACAAAAGGTGCCTCCTGACAGGTTGGGAGCTGCTCTGGGACTGCTGGAGTCACAGGGGTGGGGTTCAGGGAGGCCTTTAGAGGAATTAAGGAGGTTCAGGTGCAGGCAGTCAGGCAGCTTGGTTTCCAAACGGTGGGGAGAAGGTCCAATTTTGATTTTATGCACCATGTAGCCTTGTGAGTTCGTGACCCAAAGAGCAGTTTTGGTTTGTTGTCGTCATACCTGACTTAGGATGAGCCTTAAGGTACAAACCTTAATATACTGCAAGACCTTCTCAAACTGAACTGCCTGGAGAGAGGTCCCAAGTATTATTGTATTACTGGTGTTATACGTGGTTGTGATTAATTTGTTGACATTCTCTCCTCTTCCTGTGGATTTGGCTCCCACAATCCATGCTGGAAGTTGTTGAAAGCAGCTCTTTTGAGTTGTTATGCTTCATAGTGTCTGTTGGAAGAGTCCACAATGCATCAAGCTGGTTGCATTTTTCCTTTTATTGGCTGTATTTCTGGCTTTAAGGTTCACTTTTATGACACAGAGCCGTGTGTGTTCTTGCACAAATTGGAGCAGCACCTTGTGGTCCTTTGGAATATCCAAGTTGACGGTGGATCCAAGGGCAGACTGAGGACCTCTTTTCCCTCCCTGCCTTTCCATCTGCTTTCTTGTGGCATCCCCGGGGTGAAAGCTGAAGGAAATCTGTCTGTCTCAAACTCTAATGACTGTTTAACCACTGTGGTCTGCCACTGAACAGGTCTGCACTCCAATCCTGTCTGTGGTGAGGACGGTACCAATTTGTGTATGGGAGCACCAGGGTGTGCTGTTCTGGGGTTTGGAATGGGTTTGGAGCTCAAATTTTAAACCCCAGGATGCTGCAGCTTCACTGAAAACAAACCTGAGCTGAAACTTCGCTGAAAACAAACCCGAAAGAAATGGGAGTTTCGCTTTCTGTTGTCTTCCCCTTGGTAAATCACTCTTGCAATATTTACACTGGAGAGTGGCTTAAACTAAGCTAAAGGCAGAGTTAACCAGGAAAACTGCAATATTTCATTGCATTAGTCAGTAGGGTGCAAAACCAGTGGTTTCTCCATGTTGTTGTCTATAAAACAGGCCAATGGGGAATAACATTTCAGAGAGTAACACTTTGAATCCAGTAAGAGTGGCAGCAACTGTAAAAAACTTGTCAAGAATGCTGCTGTGGAACTCCTGGTGTATTTAAGGTCAGCTCTGACCTGCAGCCTTCCCATCACATGGATAACCTGTAATTCTGGGGATGCTTAGGCCAGAGTGGCTGGCTGTTACAAAGTCAATATTTGATGGCTTTGGTGGCTGAAACATGAACTCTGATACAGAGTTTTTAATTTTCTGGCTTTCCCAGCGCTTTGTGATGGATGGATGTGACAGGTAAGGGAAAGGAGGAAAAATTGTAACTAAAGCTTGGGGAAAGGTGGCAATGGAGCCGTGTCTGGGGCCTGCCTGGGTCACTGCTGTGGCACAGCTTTTCTGATGAGGAGTATGAATGTGAGGAGCAGAACTAGCCTCTCTTCCCTTGGTATGTATGGAATTTATCCTTGGCTCTTAGCTGTGGCCTGGCCCTATCAGGTCGCAGTTAAGCACAGAAATCAGGTTATAAATTGAAATCTCAGTGCCAGCTTTGTTCTAACTGGGGTCCTTAATTTTGGCTGGTGGCAGCAGTTTGCCTTTTTGTGATTTAACAGCCCATTGTAGGAGGGCAAAGGTTGGAGTTTGTGCTGCCTCTGTTTCTGAAATCATTTTCCTCCCTTTTTAATTTCATATTTATCTTGCTGAAGCCCAATCCTACAACGTATCTGTGTTCAGCTTGTTCCATGTGCTCTGGAGAATCCAGAGCCAGGACACTGGATCAGACAGGACTTCTCCAGTGGAGAACACGGAGTGATTGTTGGTAATGAGTTCAACAATCAGTTTATCAGAAGTGTCTTTAATACACAGATTTCTTTCTTTTGTGCCATCACAGTTTCAGTGCAAGGAAGACTTAATTGTCCAGAAGTACTTCACTGTTTTCTTAGTCCAAGTTTCCTTTATGAGAATGGTTACAGCAAAGGATTACAGAGATTTTCAGCAGCAGTTTTGTTGGTTTTACTCTTGTGCTGCTCTCCAGGATGTGGCACAGTAGCAACTGCAGTGGGGAACAACTAAGGACTGGGAGTTTAAACTGTCTCTAAACTAGACACTTGCTTAATGGAGTGAGTTTGTACTTCAGAACAAATTAAGTCACATTTGTTTAATTGCTTGGCAGAAGGAAGAGAGTCAAGCTGCTGTATCTAAATGTTCTTTCAGGTGTAATTCAAAGATATGTAAAAGTCTGATAAAAGTCCAGGTCCAAGGCTTGGAGCCAAGAGCTTAAGTTGTCAGCTTTAAACCTGAGTAATCACTGGTCATCTTTCACAAGTTGTTTAACTATTTCATGCCCAAAATGTCTCTGAAAGAAGAACCTGAATATTTGCAGTGGGTGCTGGTTACTGCCTTAATTTTGAAGTCTGATGCTTAACCATTCTGTGCTGCTTTGTTAATAACCTGGGACTTGCTTCATGTTCCCTCTTTTTGAGCCAAAACAGGCCAAATCCCTTGTTCAGAAGGCTTTCAGTGTTTGGTTCTCGGTGTGTTACATCTGTCAAGTGCAGTTTGATATTTATATTTGACAGACTTCAAAAATTGCAGAGTGGGAATGGGAACTTGTTGCTTCAGCAATGGTAGTTTGTCCTCAGTGCATGAAAAATGTTATCTCTGAGTAAGGAAAACTGAAGCCAGGAATGAGGAGTGCTGTAAAAAAAGGCAGTTTACCACAATCTGGGCTTTTTTTAATGGGGATTGATGGAATGGGAGAGGATGAAAAATTCTCAGAAAAGGAGTGACAGCGTGAGGTTGTGATAATATTGCTGAGGAAAGATTGGGATATAGTTGTGGGAGGGAAGCTAATTTGGGGTTTTGAGGGCTGTGGTAATGTTCTGTAACATCAGGTACAAGGACTAGTAATAAGTTTGGTTTTAAGAGGTAGTTTGAAATAGGCTGTAGATGAATAAAAAGACCCCTGGTTATAATCCTGTTCTGTATTCCTGAGTCTGCTTCTGTTTTTCAGCTCTTTTATCTTCAGCTGTTTGTAGAATGACTGTCTGTATCTAGAGAGAGAAATAGGCTACTGTGTTCTAGGAACTGCTGCTCTGGATTGACTGGAGTGTGAAGTGGCCCAAAACAAAGAGCATTTAGCAAACAGAGAAATAGTCCGGGGCTGTTCAGCTCCCCAGAAGTAATTCAGTCCTCTCTCTGCAATGGCTTTGGGAGTTGGGGCACTTCAGCTTGTCAGTCAAGCTGCCCAGTGTTGTTCTGGTTATTCTGTGAGGCTTTGCTGTTCTTGGAGTCTCTGTCTGAAATTTAAAATGAGTTGGAAAGAGGAGTGAGGGCTCTGTGTTGAAAACATGGTGTCCCAGTGGCCTTCCCAGCACAAAGGGAGTGCAGCTCAGCTCGCTCTCAGGAACAGTCCTGGGGGGTTACAGCTCTGCAGCACCTTTAGGGCCCTTCCTGGCTTTTAATTTTAAAGGTGCAACCTAAATGGTGCTGGTGGGGGCATTTCTGCCCCAGGAATGGCTTTCTGTGGTAGCTGGAGCTTCACCCAATGTGTGTTGGAAGAGCTGAACTGAAGCCCAAACTCTGCAGTGCTGGGGGAAGAGTGAAGAGCTGACTCTTCCTGCCTGCGCTGTCTGCCTGCCTTTTTTTTTCCCCCCTTCTTTCTGTTCTCTCCTGACTTGCCTATTTAGGCCACAGCTACATGTTTGGCAGCATTTCTGCTTAAAGAGGCACTCCTTCCCACTCTGCTGGCACAGGGCATTCACGTCACTGCACAATGAACTTGTTTGGGAAGCTGATCCAGCTGAAAAATTCCAAATATTGTGCTTTTTGACCGGATTATTTTTTGGCTGAATCGAAGCCTGGTGTGATTCTCAAGAGCTCTGTGTGTGCCTACGCCAGCACAGTGTGGAGGGTGAGCAAGTGGCTCCAAGGGACACACAGGGAGCTCTGGAAGAGGGTTGGTGTCTTTATAGGACTTTCTGTACAGTCAGTGCAAGTCCCTGATCTCTGCGTGCTGTGCTGCTACAAATGGTAAAATCAGCTTTAAAAGGACTTTAAACCTTTGCTGTTGGAGATAGTGCATGTTCAAAGTATGTATCTGAAGGCCAGCAATAAAATACTGTTACTGTAAGAGTATTATTCTAAATGACAGATTTTTTTAGTGCTCATGGAGAGGTTTTTCTGCTGTGTCCACACAGGCAGAAATGAGGTTTGCTTAGTGTTCAGTAGCTCTGTTAGTAAAACCAGCCTGTTAATATCAGCACAGTGGAGTTTCTTTGAAGTTGTTGTAGAAAATAATACCACTTAAATGGGAGATGGATTATTGCTGATTGCTTTACTGTAAAGCACTTTAAAAGCTAATCTGACAAACGATAATCTTCTCTTATCGTGTCTTATCAGCCTTAATATGATTTGAAAAATGGATCCCTTATTTGGGGTTTCGTCTTCACCTAAACTAATGTGTATTGTCTTGCATTAAATGCTGTAGAATTAGGCTGCCTTTGTTTTAGCTGCTGTTGAAGTGTGCCTGCAATTAAATCTGCTGTGAGCTGTGCCTCCTGCAGCAAAAACACCAATTACTGGTGGTACCACGTTAAAGCTCCAGTTTGTTCTTTCATCTGTGGGCACCACTGTGCTCCCAAAGTAACTGCATTATATAAGATGTTTTAATCTCTGCCTCAGGGGTGTTTTTCAGGCATTTTTTCCCGTTTTCAGTGCTCTGTGGCATTGCCATGCAGTGCCATAACAGCATTTTTAGTGTGGAGTGAAAAGTTGAGCAGAACAAGTTCAGTCATCACGTGAAACTGAGGTTTGCACTTTTTTAAAGAAGTGGTTGAAAGGAATGAAAAGCCTTGGCTTAGGTACATGTTTAGGTTGTGAATGTGAACAGAGACAACAGTTACCGTGTTCCAATGAGATTGAAAGCAGATAAATGCAGGAAGTATTTATTGATCCCAACCAATTTAGAATAATCTCTTTCAAGAAGGTCTCGCAGTCAAAATAACTATGTCAGGTCACTTTTCTAGGTTTTAAAACTTGAATGGAACATATTTAATTACAGCTTTGTTCCATTGCTGTAGCTCAGTTATGCTCTCCCAGCATGCACCAGCTAAATACTGCTTTTATAGGGTCAGTGTGTCAGTAAACTGGGAATAGAAAGGATATAGTCATTCTTTTATGCCTTGGAAAATGGGGGCAGCCTAAAAATGATTCTTATCTTCAGAGTTAAAGTATTGATACCTTGTTAATGATTCGATACCTTGTGTGTGTGCACTTTGTAATGATTTTTGGAGCAGGATTCCCTTGGTTGGATGTACTGGTTCTCACTTTGGTGCTTCCCAGCCAGTCCTGTGTTGGGCCATTGCTCTGGGCAGTGTGGTGGTACAGGAGGGTGGTTTTACCTCATTCTCTGGAGTGACTGGAAGCTTTGGGGTCATTAATTTGCCTTTCAGACGAGGTCCCCCCATCAGGTACTGCTGTGGGGTGAGCTGATATCCCTGAAAACAATTATTTGAGGCTTCTGTGCACGACTAATCCAGTGCCAGGAACAGAAGTGGCTGGAAGCTGCTCCCTTCCCTCTCCTGAGTTATCACTCTTTTGTTGAGCACTGGAGGAGAAGTTATTCCTTTGGTCAGCCATTCTTTCTCCCAGTGTATTTTCCTCTCAGTGATCCACAAGTGAGAACCCCGTGAAGAAAAGCAGCATATTTAGGTCACATGTTAAAGCCCCGAGGCAGCTCTGCTTGCATCTAATTTGGGAGGAAAATTTTAGGGTCAGGAAAAGAGGGTTTAAAAGAGTTGTATTGTGAGGAAGATTGGTTTCCCGGGTATAGAGAATGCATTTGGTGTGGAAATGTTTCTCTTTGCATTTTTCAATTGCAGTCCTTAAATTAATGCTCTGGGAATAATGGGATCTCCAAACACACACACTTGGCACTGTGGTTTTGAGAACCTGAGAAAAGATAATTGCATATATTCAGGAACACTGAAGGTAATTGAGACTTCATATTATAGTTGCTTATTTAAATACAGAGTAATTTCTAATATATTCTTGCCTGTTGAATGCCAGTAACTGTATTTTCCTCTTTTTTTCCCCTGATGAATATAAAAAGTACTTCAGTGACCATTCTTTGATTCTTAAAAGCAGTGATTTCAGCTGGTCTTGGTGCTATTGTTAAATGATGTTTTGAGAAGCTGTGACCTGTGTGAGTTTGAGTACAGTGCTTATAAATGTAATCTGAAGGTCTTATTTTATTTTCAAATAACTTAGAACTGTAAAGTAAATTGGTCCAGCAGAAAAGAACTACAGGCTGAAATAAAGCTTTAGCTTTGGCTCTCATAAATATATAACGATTCTCAAAGACACTTGTTTGAGAGTTCCCGGACTATTGTCCAATGGAATTACATATAAAACCTCTAAGTTCTCAGGTAGTGTTCTTGGTAGGGAATAATGTATAGAAATATTGGAGAACTGACTCAAAAGAAAATTACAGGGCTTGGGTTATTTGCTCTCAGATTGATTTTTATCCTGAGTCAGCTTCCCCAGCCTTAATTTGTCCCTCTGTAACAAGTGTTTGTGGTGGGATAGGTGGTGAAGCCACGGGAATGGGCTGAGAGGTGAATGGAGGTGAATCTCAGGGAGATGGTGGTGGTTTGAAGGCAACATGGGAAGCTGTGGAATTGTGACCAATTGTGAGCCTTTCCATGGCTCAGTTGGGATGTGCTTGTTCAGGGGCTGCCTTGCACAAGGGAAACTCTGCTGCCAGAGGGTTCAGATCCATGTGGTCTTCAGCTGTGCCAGGGGAGGTTTAGGTTGGATATTAGGAAGAATTTCTTTGCAGAGAGGGTGATCAGCCATTGAAATGGGCTGCCCAGGGAAGTGGTGGATTCTCCATCCCTGGAGGTTTTTAAGCAGAGCCTGGATGTGGCATCAGTGCCATGGGCTGGGAACCACGGCGGGGTTGGATCAAGGGTTGGACTTGATGATCTCAGAAGTCCCTTCCAACCCAGCTGATTCTATGATTCTATGTTTGAGGACATTTTTCCTTATAGATCAAGATGAGCAAACAGCAGTTGAAGTTGAAGCCCCCAGACTTGTTCATGACACAGTCTAGCAGTGAGAAAATGGCACTTTGTGGAGAGGTAACAGTGACACATTTATAATCTGCTGACAGGAGGTTGTAGCCAGGTGGGGGTTGGTCTCTTTTCCCAGGCAACCATCAGCAAGACAAGAGGGCTCAGGTCTTCAGCTGTGCCAGGGTGGTTTAGGTTGGATATTAGGAAGAATTTCTTTGCAGAGAGGGTGATCAGCCATTGGAATGGGCTGCCCAGGGAAGTGGTGGATTCTCCATCCCTGGAGGTTTTTAAGCAGAGACTGGATGTGGCATCAGTGCCATGGGCTGGGAACCACAGCGGGGTTGGATCAAGGGTTGGACTTGATGATCTCAGAGGTCCCTTCCAACCCAGCTGATTCTATGATTCTATGCTTTAAAGGAACGTGGAACTGGCAGGAATGGCTTTTTGCCCAAAGGTTTAAGACTTTCTGTATCATCCTTCTGCCTTTTCTCAGTCCGTTCTTCTCACAGCTCCGTGTCATTGTTTTGATTTGGTTTTATTTGTTTTGAAAGCTGAATTTTACTTTCCTTTTGTGTGTTAAAGAAATATCCAGGGTCTTCCATTCTCCTGCAGCCCCCTCTGGAAGTGTCAACCCACTCCTGGAAGCAGCAGCAGGGCTGTGTTCCTGCAGCAGGACACACGCTGTGCTCAGCCCAGCTCGTGGCTCAGATGCCTCCGAGGGAAGGGCAGTGGGAAGACAAAGAGCATTTGAAACAAAACAAAATCCCTGGGATATTCTGCACATGAGCTCCTTGGCTCCCTGGAGCTTTGTGGATGCTTTTCCTCCCTGTGACCCGAGGAAGCTCATCCCAAGCCTGGGAATAACATTTTAACCTCTCCCTGCTTTATTTTCCCAGTCTAGGACTGGTGTGCCTGTTTCCTAAGATGTAATTCCAAAGCTTTTGATGGGTTTTTAAGGATCTTTGAGATCCTTGCAGGGCAGTAATACTACTTAATACTCTCTATCTTGTTTTCAGCTGTTATACAACTCTTCCAAAATCCAAAGAAAAGGCCCTAATCTATAAATAGAGGTGGTGAGAGATTTAAAATAAGTCACTTAAAAATAAAAGTTGGTATTTTACTCAGATTAGTGGGCTATATATATAATTTTAAGAGGTGTCTGCCTTAGAGTTGTCAAGATTCCATTTTGCATCATTCAGAGAAGTGAGTGTCAGGAATCTCAAAGTCCAGGCCAGAAATTAAAATTGGCCTCTGTTTAATAATGATTTTTTTTTTTAAAGAAGCTGAGGCATGTATGCTTGGGCCAGAAAAAAAAAAAAGAAGAAAAGGGAATTGGTAAAGGGAAGACAGTTCTTTAAGGCTCCAAAGAGCCACTAAAGATGCATTAAGTATTAAAATGAACTGATGAGTGAGTGACCATAGCGAGGGGAGTAATCAGAGATTTTTCTTCTACAGTCACTTAATAGAACTGGGTATTTATCTCTGCTGGAAACTTCAGTTGTACTTGTGACCTTCACAGGCTCTGTGCTCCCGGCAAGCTGCCCGAAATTCAGCTGGGGAGTGCCCTTCCCTCCCTGCTCCCCTCCCTCCCCTCTTCATGGCAGGAGAGAGGGATTTCTCATTGCCTTTGCCTCGCTCAGAAGGAGCCACTTCACACATTGTCCGAGGTCCAACAGCCTCCTGCATCCTCCACACCGAGATTCAAAGCCTGCAAATGTTTGGCCTGAGCTTTTTGAGCCCCAAATAAAAGCTTTGCTCAGAGAATGTGTGAGAAGAGGCTCAAACAGCAGGGTAGTTTCTAGGAGTTGGTGGTTTTTATTCTTTAAATCTACAACACAAATGCACTCCAAGTCACAGAATTCTAATTACAAAAAGCATTATGTTTTTCTCTAATGCTCCTACTAATTTTTAACTTGCTGGGTATGTTTTGGAATGGCTTCAGCAAGAAGAGAAAATGCAGCTATTCCAGTGCTCTGCAGCTTTCTCAGTGACAAGAAAGGCATTGCCTGAAGGCTTCTGTTCTCTCCATGCCAAACAATGGCCCAGTATGTTATTTCCAAATATATTGTTATTTGCAAACAGAACACCAACCCCTGGCTGCTCTGTGCCGTGCAGCCTATTGAAATTCTGGCTGTGATTCCAGCTGAGATTTTTCCATAAATAGCTCTGGACTACTTGGGAACACAAACAAACCCTGGGCAGATCTGAGGGGCTGCTCAGCCTGTTATTAGTGTGGACTTGGGGCAGGTATATTCTGGATATGAGGAATGTTTCTGTGGGGTGACGTGGGGGCTGCCAGCAGGAACTGGGAAATAAATAATTGCCAATAAATAATTGCCAATAAATAATTGCCAATAA